AGAAATAGATAAACCCACAATTATAGTTACAGACTTCAATATTCCTCTCTTGGTAATCAGTAAAACAAGTAGAAAATCAGCAAAGATATTAAAAAACGACCAACACTAACAGCCAACTGGATTTAATTGACATTTATAGAACACTACACAAAAAAAGCAGAATGTGCATTCTTTTCAAGTGCACAAAGAACTGAAATAATGTGCGTTCTCTAGCCATGATGGAATTAAATTAGAAGTCATTGGAGACTCCATCTCAACAACCAAAAAAGAAAGGTATCAGATTAACAATATATGCTTCACCATTAAGAAACTAGAAAAAGAACAAAATAAAAACTGAAGCAAGCATTAGAAAGAAATAAAGAAATCAGTGAAATTGAAAACAGAAAATCAGAAACAAAATTCAATCAGACCAAAATCTGGTTCTTTGAAAATAAAGTGGATAAACCTCCAGTCAGACTGACAAAGGAAAAAGACAAAAGGCACAAATTATCAATATCAGGACTGAAAAGAGACATCACTACAGACCCCACAGATATTAAAATAAGAGGCTATGGCAAACAACTCTAAGCACATAAACTTGACAACTTAGATAAAATGCACCAGTATCTTATTAATAAAAACCACAGGTTGGACATGGTGGCTCATGCCTGAAATTCTAGCACTTTGGCAGGCTGAGGCAAGTAGATCACCTGAGTTCAGGGATTCGAGACCAACCCTGCCAACATGGAGAAACCCTATCTCTACTAAAAAATACAAAAAAATTCACGAGGCATAATGGCAGGTGCCTATAATCCCACTACTAGGGAGGCTGAGGCATGAGAATCACTTGAACCCAGGAGGCAGAGACTCCAGTGAGCAGAGATTGTTCCACTGCACTTTAGCCTGGGCGACAGTGAGACTCTGTCTCAAACACAACAAAACAAAACAAAACACAACACAACACCACAAACTGCCAAAACTTAAGAAGAAATAGACAAAAAACAAAATTGACGATATAAAATATTCTTACATCTAACAAATAAAACAAAATCTTACATGACTGAAAATTATAAAAAACTATCCTGGAATTATTTCAAAAACCATCTTATTAGATTCAGATAAAAACTCAAATACAATTTAAAGTCTTTTAAAAGATATACCTGCATTCATTCAGTGGCTTTATAATAGTTAACTTGTCTGCTATCAAATGGGCACATTTCTATGGATAGTAATGCAAAAGACATAATGTGCTGTATTCAACTGAATTTTTATCAATACTTCTTCATGTCTCATTAATATGGACAGTGTGGCCATTCTTAAAATGATCTTTACTTATCAAAGTAAATCAAAGATACTGTTTTGTAATATCAAGTGAATTACTAACTATATAAGTAGCCAAGAGTACTGCTTGAGAAAGTACATCCTGACATATGTACTAATGGTTAAATCCTACAGAACAGGACACTTCATACAAGTGAAGTGACCCTTAAAAGTTGTGTAAAGGCCGGGTACGGTGGCTCACGCCTATAATCCCAGCACTTTGGGAGTCTGAGGTGGGTGGATCACGAGGTCAAGAGATCGAGGCCATCCTGGTCAACATAGTGAAACCTCGTCTCTACTAAAAATACAAAAATTAGCTGGGCATGGTGGCGCACGCCTGTAGTCCCAGCTACTCGGGAGGCTGAGGCAGAATTGCTTGAACCCAGGAGGCGGAGGTTGCGGTGAGCCGAGATCGAGACATTGCACTCCAGCCTGGGCAACAAGAGCGAAACTCTGTCTCTCAAAA